TTTATTGAGCATGCACGCTCGAAACTTCAAAACTATCAAAACTGACAGATTAAAAAAATGATTGTCATTTTTTTCTTTTACAACTCATTCAGTCCAGTGTAACGTTGCCAACTGTGTCTCGTGCAATACACCGAACGTGTGTGCAGTTTGCAACACTGGATACACTTTGAACGCTGCCAACAACAGATGCGATGGTTGTTTTTTATGTCTTTTGATTTGAATTGTATGGTGAATTTTTAATTTTTCCATTTTCATTTCTAATTCAAAAACTTGCAGATCACTACAAAAAAGATACAACTAGTTATATTTTATTTTCAGTGCAATGCAACTTTCGATTTTGTCAAACCTGTCAGTCACCCAACAGATGTTCTCAGTGTAACAGTGGCTACAGCTTGGATAGCAATGAAATCTGCCTTCGTTAGTGAAGTATTTTGATGTGCGACGATAATGATGATGACAATTTTTTTGAATCTTTTGTTTCCACACCCTGCATTGAGGCTTATTTTCTTCATATAAAGGACTAAATAAAATTTTCAACAATTAAAACAATATTATTAAGAATTTATATTGAAAACAATTTCAATAAATTATATTCGCAGCACAATGCAACGTTCAGTTCTGCCAACAATGCCGAGCACCGAACAGATGTTCCGTCTGTAATAGTGGCTACTATCTGAATAGTGATGCAAACTGCGTCCGTGAGTATTTCAGTTTGAAACATAGTTATAAGTTTATAATTTAAATTTTTTAGTTTTCTCAAGTTTTCTGTTTTGAACTAAACACTGAAAACAATTATTTTGAATGAAGAAATTCCAATAACGTGCAACGTTGCCAACTGTCGATCATGTCTCGTAGCGAATGTCTGCTACCTGTGCAATGATGGTTACACGCTCGATACCAACAATAACGTCTGCAGAAGTGCGTTTTGTTTTGAATATCATCCGGTTACTTATTGTAACTTTTCAGTTTGTTCTGACCTACTCTGAAATTTTAATCATAATTTGTTGGAGAGTTATAAACTTATTCAATTGTAAATGCTCAGCTGTTTAAACAAGTAAAAATTTGTTAAATGTAATGAACCCGAACAATCATTTGATACATAACTGTCATTTTCAGTCCAATGTAATATCGCTAATTGTTTGACGTGTAACTCGCCGAACGTGTGTGCACTGTGCAACAATGGGTACACGTTGAATGGCGCTAACAACAGATGCGATGGCTGGAAACTATTTTTCATTTAAAATAAATTTTGATCACAATATTTTTCATAATTTTTAAACAAAATATTTTCTAACCAACCAAAATCTGAAACATACAAAATTAAAATAGAATTTGTATAATGATGACAGTGCAGTGCAACGTTCCTAATTGCCAGAACTGTCAGTCACCCAACAGATGTTCCCAATGTAACAGTGGCTACAATCTGGATGGCAATGGAAACTGCATTGGTGAATAGTAAAAAACTAAAAATTTTAAAATTAGTATAAATTATTTTGACCTAGTTTGTGCAATTTTGCCTGATGTTCTAGTGAAGTGACATGCAAAAAATTGTGTCACTTTAAAATTCACGAGAAAAATGTTTTTTTTTTAATTTTTTAAATTATTTCTTTGTTTTTATTTCAGCTCAGTGCAATGTCCCAAACTGTCAACAATGTCAGACACCCAACAGATGTTCACAATGTAACTGTGGTTACAGCTTGGATAGCAATGGGAACTGCGTTCGTTAGTACTGAAAAAAAAACTATTACTATTTGGACCAATTTTTTCATCTTTTGTTTTTTCTCATGTGACGTTTCATTAGGACATCATTTTTAGTTTTTTGTGGGGTACTCCGCTTAATTGAGGATTGTTCTTTTGAAAGACTCCTTTACGTAGCAATTAAATGTTGATTGTTTATAATAAAATCAATAGGTATAATGTTCGTTCATGTATTTGAAAGCATGCTTACTTCGGTACCTTCTGCAAATTCATACAAGATTTTAATTAAAATAAATTTCAAAAGAAAGGTAACATTCGAAACGAATAAATGTGAAAGCAACTTACTTTAATGTGTCATACAAATTTATGGCGTTATCCAGATAGTCTCGATGTTTACTTAAAAAAATTGTCAGAAGCGTACTAACTATTTAATGCCTACAAATATGGTTGAACTTCAACTTATTCCAAACTATTCAATTGTTTTTTCAATATTTTGTATATTTTTTCAAATTTCAGCCCAGTGTATTGTTCCAAACTGTCAGCAATGTCAAACCCCCAACAAATGTAGCCAATGCAATAGCGGTTACAACTTTTACAGCAATGGAAACTGCGTCCGTGAGTACAGAATAATTAATTTCTACTAAATTTTTTAATGCAGTACTGAATACAGATAAAAAATTTAAATTTCATCTGCTGATTTATCTGAAGTAACAAATTATTACAGATTTTGTCCAGCTTCAGTCAGAGGAGGATCTAAACAACTTTAACGGGGGTGGGCAATATTTTGGAAATGTTTAAATTTTTTAATAATTTTGGTGGGGTGGCCAAGATTTGTGGTATTTTTTCATTGCAAAACTAAATTTTACTGACTGTCACAAATTTAATTTTACTGTTAATTTTACAAATACAGCTCACAAAGGGGGAAGCACGGCCTCCCTTGGCCCCCATAGATTTGCCATTTTTATAATCTTCATCAAATTTAAAAAAGATTATTATTATATATTCATCTAAGAAAAAATTTCAAAAATTTCATGATTTAGTGAAAAGTTACAAATTGGTGCCAGACAATATGCGTTGTTTTTTCGCAAACACGAACAAACTTTTTGAAGACCCTTTAATATGAAGTTTGTAATGCCGGCTCACGCAATCATGCAAAATGTGTGTTTGCAATTTGTGCATATCTGTTTTGTCATTTGTAAAATCAATTTTTCTGACTAAAGAAGAACTGAATTTCGGTTATTAATTAGGTCTAAGCATCGTTTGTAAAGTTAAAGTAAGTTTAATTTGTAACTTTTTGCTGAGGTTTTAGATTTTCGTGATTTTTATATATGTTGTAGATACTAATAAAAAAACTAATATTTATTTATTCTTTTTTCAAAATTTTAATTTTTAAAAAAGTTATAACGTTTTTTATAAAGTCCTTTATAAAGGACGCTAACAGAAACTGACACCCTGAAACGCAACCATAGTTTAAATTATTTTTTATTGTTCTTTTCTCAATTTTTATCAATTTATGTAACAAATAAACAAAAGATTGAAAATATAAAATAAAAAAATCTATGTCATTAACAAAAGTTATATAATCATTTATGAAAATCAGGTGAACAAGCAAAGTCCTGTGGCACATCACATGGAAAACATAATAAGTTTGCCTTTTTGCCACAATGGCCACATCTTCTTTGTTTGGGCATTTTTTGTAGATGGTGATGGAAGTGGGTTGTAGCTTGAAATAAACAGAACTTATTTATTGGCCTCAGTTTGAATTATAATTTGTTGTACGATCTTACACATTATAGATAACACTACAAGGATCAGATTTTAGTTTCATTTCATTATCATTTTGTTTTACGGACGTTTACTTTATGTGCAGTGTGCTATGATTTTGTGTCAAATAGTTGTACGAACAAATTATATTATATGCGCCTGATAATTTTTGAAATTGTTTCTGTTTTTTCTTTTTGGTGGCCTATAAAGCAAAATAAGCTTGTATGGTCTCCAAGCCATTTTTTTGTGGTTAATAAAATGTGTAAATAAAAAATAATAAAAAAAAAATATATATATATATACATATAAACGTAAAATCACCACTACAGTAAAACTCCTCTAGAGAGGACACCATTGGGGAATGAACAAACTGTCCTCCCCTCTTAACTGTCCTCTCCTCAAGACTCAACATTAAAATCTTTTATGATATACTACATAAAAAATTAAAATAAAACAACACGTTTTTAATATTGTTATGGAAGAAAATCATTCATAGTTGTCTGTTTGCCAAAACATTTTGTTTTTAACAATTCAATTTCTAAAATATTTTCAATGTTCTCAGAAAATTGTAACAATTCTCTAATGCCCATATGTATCGAATAGGAAGTTAGCTTCCTGGCACATTGTAATGCCATCTTTGTAGAAACATCTTGGACTGGAACCTCTTCTTCCTCTTCATCATCTTGGACTTCAAATTGTTCATGATTTTCAGAACTTTGTGGGCTATGGATTGAGTCATCATTGTTATCCATGGTTACAAAATTCTCCCAAGTAACAGAACCCAAAAGGCTGGTTATGGTAGGATCAGCTTCAATCAGCTGCACATCTGTATTTCTATTTTCTCCTATTCCAAAACCACACTTATTAAAACATTTTGTGATTGAAGTAGGATTAACATTTCTCCATGCCACATCCAACCAATTAATTGCATTTAATAGGTTAACAGATTTTGCTAGTTCTTGTGCTTCTTCCCATGTCTGTCAAAACATGTCTCAATAACTTTTCCTATAAATAGTTTTAATTTGTGAAATTATGCCAGCATCTAATGGCTGCAAGCATGACGTTGTTTTTGGTGGTAAATACTTAACGATAACATTTGACATGGAAATCTCTGGATGAGCAAAACAATTATCAACAAAGAGAAGGATCTTTCTTCCTAAAAAAATGTGTTAATTAGATAAGTATAAAAAATATTTATATATTTAATTTAAACGCCAAACCTTTTATTTGCATTTTATTGTTTAAGATTTGGCACCACTCTAAAAATAACCTGGCAGTCATCCATGCCCTTTTGTTCCAGCGATACATCACAGGTAAACCTTTTTTTTTCAAGGCTATAAATAAAATTAATCAGTTGAAATTTTTTATAGTTTTGAAAATATCATCTGAAATTTTAACCTTTAAAACATCGAGGATTTTCTGCATAGCCAATGACCAAAGGTGGCAATTTTTCCCCTGTCTGAGAGCAAGCTAAAAGAACAGTTAATCTTTTTTTGACTGTCTTGATGCCTTTCCTTTTATCAGATTTCAAAACAAGTGAACGTTGTGGTTAATTGCGATAATAAAGACCTGTCTCATCTGCATTGAATATATTTTCAGGTAAGAATCCAGATGTAATCTCAGGAAGCCTTTTTTTCCAATCATCAACTATTTTTTCATCAACATCAGCAGCTTCACCAGCAAGTTGTACAAATGTTATCCCAAACTGCTTCTGCCAACTTCTTAGCCAACCAGTTGATGCCATGAAATTTTCACAACCGATACAGTCTACAGCAATAACAATAGCTTTTTCCTAACAATAATAAAGAAGGTTAGAAAAAAACAAAATAAATTCTTTATTTTCCCTATTTTTAAAAAGGTGGTAAGGTAAAATTTTGTTTAAAGAACTCTAACCTTCACCATTGGTCCACTAACTGGCAGATTCTTTAACCGAGCTTCAGAAAACCATTCAAAAAATTTAAAATTGATCTCTTCAAAATCCGTTTTTCGTTTTTTCAACGTTTTATTCTTACTCGGCACTCCCGCTTCCCACTGCCTTTTTACAGATTCTTTATTTTCATGAATATTTGCAATTTGAGTTTTTCCGCAACAAAATTCTTCAGTAATTTTTCGTATGCTAACTCCATCATTTAATTTTTTCACCACCAGCATTTTTTCTTCCAAGTTTAAAAATTTTTTTTGCAGAGTCGACTCCATTATTACACAACAGCTTATCAACACGACCGCGATACAAATATTCAAATTAGATGGCGCATTTTATCAAATATTCCATGTGTTTTTGTTATAAATTGTCCGCTCTTTAAGACATAAAAGTCAATTTGTACTTAAAACCCTGTCCATAGTTCGTTCCTTTAAAATGTCCGTTCTTTAGGATCTATTTAACATGCAAAACGGTTCCGTGCCAAGCAATACTGTCCGTTACTCTTATCTGTCCGTTCTTTAGGGTCCCGCTCTAGAGGACTTTTACTGTATTAGCTTCTCACATACATAATATATATACGAAATGTGCTCTTCAAACTTATATATATATGCTTCCTATCTATATATTTGAATGCTATAATCATGTTATTTATATACATATAATTTCTCGTATGAAACAAATCTGATGCTTCGATTGAATTTCTTCATTGAATGAATAGAGGTTTTATTTGCGTCTGAATTGGCGCGGGCTCAGTAAAGTGGTTACTTCGCATAAAAGAATTTACTGTCACTAAGTACCCTTACTGCTCTGAACCGTTGGCGCCATCCCGTGCTTTTTGTGTTTTTGTGTCCGCATATCAGTTCCGTTACTGTGTTTCTTGTTATTTCTGAAGTTTTAATTATTTTTTAATATTTTTTAAAAATTATCATTTGGTTAAATATTTTCAAAGATTTTCTGGTTCAATTCGTTAAAAGTTTAACGTCAATTGTACTATAACTTTACCGTCAAATAAAATACTATAATTCGATTCCAATGTTGAAATTGCACTTATTTTATTTGTAAACTGCATTACAACATTCTCAAGTAGACATTATTTATTCACCAAAATGTTTATTTCTCAGTAACCAATTTAATAAAATTTATTTTCTTTTTATTATTTTACGATATAACGTGTTTTATAAATAGCAATGAAATTACACACGCACACAGAAACACACACATATGCACACACGCACACACACATATATATATATATCATATACATATATAGCATCATATATGCAAATGCATGCATCTTCTATATCAACTTAGTGTGCCCACCCACAATGTAAGCATATAGATTTACCGCTCTTTACATCGTGCAGGCATGCATGCATACTTCTTATTCCCGCTAAATCTGCGTACTGCAATGAAATACAATGTAATGCAATATAGAATGAATACTGCTTTTGAGTGAGTAGATGTTTTGCTGACAGTTACTTGGGCACAGGCCTAGTTAAGCGGTTACTTCGCACAAAAGAACTAACTGTCACATGGTCTCCTTACTGCCTTTAACCGCTGACGCCATCTTGTGCTTTTTGAACTTTCGCGTCCGCACGTCCTAAGGAATAATTTAGAGAAAATAATAATTAAACTTTCTTTCTATTGTACTTGTTTCTAGCATTTTGTAAATTTTCAATTAAATCATCTATCATTCTTTGTGTATTTTTTTAGATTCAAACAACATTGATTGTTATAATTCTGATTACTTCTCACGAAAAATGTGGATTGCGGGCAAAAAATAGATCCGGCAAATGTTTTGACAATTTTTGTTTGGAAGCCGTTTCCTAATGTTGCACTAAGCCTGGGGAATGAAACATTTTGGTTTCCACCCCAACCGGATGCGTTTTTGGGATCGTTTTTTTTAGAATCATGCATGACGTTCTGGCATGATAACTTCAATTGGAATGACCTATCGTGCCATTATGCCAAATGCGTGCTATGTGAAGCTACACCGATACTCAATTATATATTGTAGTTTATATTTGAAATATTTATTTACATCTGACGTTTTTAACATTAACCTGACAATTTTTTAAATCATTTTAACTAATTTAAAAAAATTGAAAACATCATGGATAAAGGTTTGATACTATAATTGCTGAAGAGTTTTTTCAATTAATAAAAGTTAAATATTCATTTCATAACTACATAAAAACGTGATGCTGTAAAAATCTCTACTTGCCGTCTACAGCAGAGTTATCAATTTTTGTATACAGCAGAAAATTTAATGAAAGTTGCCCAACTGAGATCCTATCAACTTTTTTTTGAGCATTCATTCAATAGTCTATATTTTTTTATTCTTTAAAATGACAAAATTTCTAGAAGAGACGCAGAACCTAAACAAATAAAAATGTGATAAATGAGAAGAAATTGCAAGCTAAAATGAGATGAAAGTCGAGTTACTCTTAAAAATGAAATGTTGAAGATTTTTTGGTTTCTGAAAAAAAATAACTCATTTGTATTTTGACATCTTGAATCTTCTAGCCTAAAAAATACCCGCACCTAATTGTATTGTGTTTGATGATTTTTATAGCGCCTGTTATGAAGTACTTCAGAAGCACAGTTTAATATTTTGCTTCGTGTTGACTCAAACTATAGCAATCAAGCTCATTGTTGATTTTTTAAATTAAAAAATTTGAACTAGACTTAGTAGCTTGAAACTGATAATTTTGATGTCATTATAGTAAAATACATTCAATACATTTATTGTCCGTATTGATTTAAATAAGCAATTTAGATATTTGTTGTGTGTAAGAAAATTTTGAAGATGACAACGAAGATAATGATTATAATTATGTTCATATATGTAGAATAAAATTATGTAAAAATTACCAGGTTAACAAAGTTTCTGGCATATAATTATTTTAAATATTTTTAATACAAATATTGCTGAATCTGTTTTTCCAAAAACAAAAAGCTATTATTTTTATTATAAATTTACCAATTTTTAGATTTAACAAGGTTTTTCTACTTTTTCACTGCTATGTGAGTTTTATTTACCAAGATTGAAAATTTTGTGAAACTTTTCAAACTCAAAGCATTTTCAAAATTTATTTTCAACTTTTTTGAGACTGTTCTTTTCTTAATTTCATTAATTTTCTTTTACCTGAAATTCGCTTTATTCACAATTACCACAACAACAATAGAAATAATCTTAATAATTATAATGTAGATAATAACAACAGCAACAACACTGGGAAAGACAGTAGAAATTAGACAGGATATGATCATTATCATAAAATTTGTGAAAGGAGAAAGTTAAAAATTATTAACGTTTGTTCAGATCCGTGACGACTTAACCGATGTCGTAAATATTTAGCTATAGAATTTTTTAAAATAATTTGCCATTTAATTAACAGGAAACATTGAGGAAGAGTTAATTAATTAATTAGTTTACTGATGAATGAATGAATGAATGAATGAGTTAGTGAATGAGTGAGTGAGTGAGTGAGCGAGTGGGTGAGTAAGTGAAGAGTGAATAAATAAATGAATTAATCAAATAAATAAATGAATGAATAAATTAAATAAATTGAGTCAGTCAGCCATCCAGCCAGCCAGGCAGCCAGCCTGTCTGTCAGTCAGTCAGTCAGTTAGTTAGTCAGTCAGTCAGTCAGTCAGTCACACACAAAAACACAAACACACGCTCATTTGAAATTACAACTATAAAATAATACACAAAAACAGATAAAAAATAAATAAATCGATAAACAAGTAAATAATTGGCGGAAAAATTACAAGCAATTTAAAAAAATAAATTTACAATTATAAATGAATATCCGTGTATGTATACAGTAGGGCGTATGCAAGCATTTTCTCAAGCATCACTTCACATGGTTAATTAAATAATTTTTATTCTGAATGTCAGAGCCCTGTGACGATTTTAAATGCGTTGCCAGCAGACTATGCGGAATTAATTTGTTTCAATACATTGTATACGTAGGTAAACGTACACGTATTCTGGTTTATATAGGCTACTTATTAGATACATGGGCATGAATAATGCTATGTTAGAATGCATCTAATGTATTGAATACGCGTTGCACATATGTAGATGTTTAAACGACATCAATTTTTCTCCATTGACTTTCGGAGACAATAAACATGCGTTAGACAGTGTTTGTAATATGGTCAAAATTTTTTAGTTGAGTGCCTTTATTGGACGTATACATTTTTCAAACTTATCAATATCTTCCTAATATTTTACTTTTCAGAACTAAAAAATTAACATTATATTGAATGAATTTTAAAGATATATGTTTATTACTAACTATTAAAACTATTATTACTAGTTATATTATATAACTATTATGTTTATTTCAACAATCTTTCAAGTATATTGCTTTACGTTGGCAGTTTATATAATTAGAAAAATCTGCTTTGATTTTGTTGTTGTAAGTTTGTACAGGAGGGATGTTAAATCGCCCTTCATTTGTTTTGCTGATGCATCAAACAAAGATAGCATCATATCGATGAAGAAAAGGAGACCAAAGAAGATGACCAGCCAATAAAGAAACCTGACACCTAATTTCCATCTAAGTTCAATTTGACAAAGTCAATCTCCATCTAAGTTCATTTTGACAAAGTCAATATTTCCCTATATAAACAGCAGAAAGCACTGATGATGATTTATTCGGAATCGAAATTTGGACTTATTTGCAGCATGAATTCGGAAAAACAGTTTATTTTGAATTTTAATAAACTAAACGTTCACCAAAAACTTTAGTGAGAAAAATTGAAAAAACGAACTACAAACATATTAACGACAAACATTCGGTAGAATTTATAGAATATTGTAAAAATTATGGTCTATTACCAACATATATATGTATGTATGTATATATATATATAAATTTATAACTATTTATATGTATAACTATTAAGATGATTGTTGTTATGCTAGACCAGACAATCAAGCATTTAAATAATATTTCTTGCATATATTTTGTTTGAATAGTTGCTTACTTTAAAATTGGCATACTAGCATATTACATGTTGATGTCTTTAGTATTGGAATATTTCGAAACAGTTTCTATGTTAATTTCTTTTCTCCATGGTATCCAGCTCAGAAAGAATTTGTTTTTGCGGTTTATCTCAGGTAATTATTCTGTAATTCTGTAAATGAAGACAACAACAACATCATCAGAATTACAACAACAATAACATCAAAATCAACATCAGCCACTTTTACAACAACAAAGACAATATCCTCAAATATGGATCAATGAAGGTTCTG